TACTTTAACCAAAGAAAAGCTTAATTTATACCATCATAATGAGGTAATCATTAGATTCTGAGAGGCTAATTAGAATAAGTTATTTATATACTTCATAAAATTGTTCAGTTCCCTATAGAATAACATAATGGAAAAAGGAAGAATAGTATCAGGAGTCAGAATTGGATGCTTAGCCTTAATTCTGTTATTTACTGGTTTGGGAAAGTCTCTTAATCAATTGATCTTTAATTTCTTCATCTTTAATGAACAAACCACTCTGACAGTCTATGCCAACAATTAGGATGAAATGAAATAATGAATATGAAGGTGCTTTAAAAAAAAACTATCAAATGCTATTCAGTTACAGAGAACTGTAATTGATAAAGGATAACAGTATTTTCAGTGAATGCTTCAAATAATTCATACTGTTTTCTGCTTTCATTAATGATTATATGTGAAACTCAGAAAAATAGCAGGTGACCTTACTAATTTTACTTCTCTGAATATTTTATTATAAGAGAAGCACAGGACTACGTCTGCCAAAGGCCAGCAATTATAACAGAATGATTCTAAAAATTTACAATATCTTGCCTGTTACTAAAATTTTCTGTAATTGGAAGAAAAGACAGGTTATGAAATTTTATTATCCACAGCAAACTAAAGCACAGCCATTTACTTGCTGAATACATGACATTCTTCAGACTAGATAGTCCCCTTTCTTTTTTATTTTTATTTATTTATTTCTGAGATGGAGTCTTGCTCTGTCGCCCAGGCTGGAGTGCAGTGGCGCCATCTTGGCTCACTGCAAGCTCTGCCTCCTGGGTTCACGCCATTCTCCTGCCTCAGCCTCCCCAGCAGCTGGGACTACAGGTGCATGCTGCCATGCCTGGCTACTTTTTTTGTATTTTTTTTAGTAGAGACGGGGTTTCACTGTGTTAGCCAGGATGGTCTTGATCTCCTGACCTCATGATCCTGCCGCCTCAGCCTCCCAAAGTGCTGGGATTACAGGCATGAGCCACCGCCCCTGACGATAGTCCCCTTTAAACACATTTTACTGAGTTCAAAGCCCACGTTACACTTTAGCACCCTTTTTTCTTAAGGAAAAAATAGCCAGTTCAAAAATGAAGAGGTACAGGGCAAGAAGCCATTAGTTTGTCAAAACCTAAGTTACATAACAAAAATACGAACACTGCTTTATACCTAATAAGTTCCACATCAATCAAATTACTATGAGCATAAAGATTGGAGTTAAAAAAATTATCAACACTGTATTTTAAAAGTTTATTAGAAGAAAAAGAAGGAAAACAAGGAACTAGCTCCAGGTAGAAAAATAAGGCAATACTAGAAATAGTTAATGTTCTTCATAAGGAGTGAAGTATCTCAAAAAAAAAAAAAAAAAAAAAAAAAGTTGACTTCTATCCTAGACAATGATGTATAAAACAACTGTAGGTAGACTGCCCCCCTCCTATAGATTAATACAACATGAGAAAATAACTCAATATTTAATATTGAACCTGAAGCCCAGAATTTTATATTGTTCTTTGCATTTCAGGGTAAAAACTAATCTCAAAATTATTCTCTCTCCAAGTTGTTGTCAACATGAAAACCAATATAAAGGGGCTCCAAGGGGCCAAAGAAGGTGTAATTTTAGAATCAAAAATAGATATAAAATTGATGTCTTACACTGCAATGAACTGAAACATACCAATTATCCCCAATATCAACCCATTTGTAGATAACAATGAGAATAAAAACACGAGTCACCTTTAAAGGTTGCTGGGCATCAAAGTTATTCTGAAAGTAAAGGAAAGAATCATGCATTCTTCTGACTCTTACATGAACTATCTTTCAGGGTAACGGATGAGGGATAGTTGTTATTCTTTACAGAAAAGTTCCAGATAATAAATCAATAAAGAATGACACAATTAACACATCACCATTTTGCAACCTCTGGAAAAAAAAAGATGATCAAAGGCTGCCAAAACCATTAGGTGGATCAGGCTGGTCATCTCACAATAGAGACAACCAGACACGTGTCTCCTGATACGGTACAACAAAAAGTAACAGAACCCCATGTTGTCAAAATAAACCAGCCAACTCATAAACTATCTGACCAAGCCTCTAGATCAAATTCCAGTTTACAGGAAAGAGATATAGGAACATTTTAAATACCACCATGGGGAAGCAATCAGCAAAGTCAAGAGTGTGGGAAAACCAATAGGACAAAGTTTCTTCATCAAATAAATGGAAAGGGGAAAAAAAGATGAAGAAAAAACAATTACACATTAAGACATATCAAACAAACGCAATGTATGAACCTTATTTTGACTGTGATTCAAACGGAACAATTGTTAAAGACATTTAAGTCAATTAAGGAGATTAGAGTTAATAAGAAATTATTTAAAAATATATGATATACTGTAGTTATTGTTTTAGAAATAGAACCTCAGATATCACACAATAAAAAATGGAATAAAATTATTTTTTCATGCGTCTAACTTTATTAGAATAAGCAACAGAGTTGCAAATTTGAACAAGTGTTTTAGATTTTAATGAAAAAATCAACACCCCAGAACTATGCACTGAAATTCTTACACTTCAATCAAAAAGTGATTACTAGTCATCCTGCTAAAAATACATGTGTTGATTACGTGCCTATCTTAAAAAATGAAAAAAAAATTTTTTTTGGAAGACAGCAGAGAATGTTGCTACTGGGCATTTTCTGTGAATCTCAAATAACTAACACTAACAAAGGAACATACTTTGGGGATGCAGATCTCAAGCTTTACATGTAACTGTAATGGTTCTAACATTCACATCTTAAAATCTCCCAGGAAAATAACCTGGAATTAATTCCAACCAATTCTAATGAGAATTGAGAGAACTTATCTCTATCTTATGATTTCATATTCTTGATATGTGAGATCAGTAAAATTACTTAAAAATATGCAAATTCCATTTCCATAGGTCTTTTATACCATCAGCCTTGAGACTTGCTTCATAAATAAATTCACTTCATGGGTACATAATTAAAATACTTTTCTTTTTTTTAATTGGACAGCATGAAAGTCTTGCATCATGATCCATTCATAGGGAGGTGCAGAGTAGATTATTTCCATGAATAGTATGCAAAGAGAACATTTATGAAATCCTTCAAGTTATTTTCAACCTGGTATGGGTCTATTCGTTGCTAACAATGTTGCCAGTCATACTACCACTAAAGCTATGGGAAATTGGGGGTCACAAAAAGAAAATAACACAGATAATTACTAATTTCAATCAGAGGTGTATTAAAACAGCATATTTCAAGCTGAAGCTATGTTAGTCTACAACGCAGAACTGCTGGCCCAGTGGTGATTATTTCCCACAATTGACCAGAATTCCTTCCCTAAGCATCTATTAGGCTGGTTTCTTTACAACCTAAAGGAAGAGAAGCACATATCTAGACTGCTCTTTAATCACAGAGACATCTAAAAAGTCACTTATATCCGATTTCTAAGCAAGCTATGTAGAACCTATTTACTGCCATTTATACAGGCACTAAAGCACAACACAGCAGTAAGAGCTGAACAAGAATCTGATTTGAAACTTACCTATGAAAAGATGACAGGACATGACAAATAAAATCTTAACAATAAAACAGAAAACTATTATGATAGATCTAATCTTAGGTTTATTATGTTCCAAATTTTTGTGTCCATTTCATAGGCATGTCTTATGAAGGGGGGGGGGGATGCCTGAGCAGTAATAACAGAAATCAGGAGCTGAGCAGCTCCTGCGACTAAGAATAGATGATAAATGAAGAACGGTATTAGGCTAAAGACTGGTAAATCTACACATCTAGTGCTGCAAAGTGGATCTTAGCACTCCATCTGAATACATTAATTGGTTGTATATGTTCAGTATCCCCCAAAATCCTCAAATGAGCAAGGGCCCAGAATTTGGGGTGGAGGACAAGAGTCTTTAAAAAAGAAATCTAGTCCACTGTGTGTGCAATAATGTAAATCAAAATGAACAGTGCAACAGATACCTTTGTTACATGGACATTTATTGTATTAACAAGTTTTTTTTTTTTTTTTAAATAGCTATACCCATGTTAATTGGAGGGGGTGGTCAAACATGATCACTAACTTACAGTACATCTGCTTACAGTAGCAACATTACTTTTTAAAACACAAGCTGATTTAAATCTTTCCAAATACGTAAAAGCTGTCAATAGAATCCCTCAGTTTCAGCTGAATAACTAGAATTATAAAAATTCAAAATAAAGTTTAAAAAATAATTTCTTTGACAAGACAGGGATTCATACACAGCCTCTGATGTCCAAAGCCCTTCAAAACGTATTATCTGCATGGATAAATACTTCCTGGGGAAGGAAAAAAGGTAACCACCAATTTAATTATTTGGGGGTGGGAACAATTTTAATATACAAATATAAACAAAGTTCTCAATGCTCCAACTTCAGGGGTACAACAAGCCTAAAACATTTTTAACATATCCAAAAGAGAAGTATATGGTCTAAGCCCATAAGCTTCCTTAAGTGACAAATATACTAAATTCAAATTCACTGAAATAATTCTCTGGTAAAATGGCCAGGCATTGAAAGACCAAAGCAAAAACCAGTGTACTAACCTAGTTCAGTAGCTATGTAACTAATGTTTTTCTTATGGTGTGCAAATCTTTTGAGAGTGAAATTTCTCTTTCACTATTATGTTTAAATAGTTGACTTTTCAGATGCTCTAAAACACACAAATCAAAAGCACAGACAAGAAAAAACACACCATTATATTTCATAAAAGAAACATAAGAAACAATGGGGGGGGTCTTTACCTTATTGTACATTAGACCCTCACTTTTAATTTTCATGAAAGGAGAACTTTTTCAGAAGACTAATATCTAAAAGCAAAAGCAATTTGGCATGTTTTATCCAACATTAAATATTTTACATATATTATAAACACACACACAAACACACATACATGTATACATACAAATAAAAAGGGTTTTGGTTTTTTTTTTACCTAAATGCAAACTGGATGAGGATCCATGTGATGAAAGTGATGGCGGTGGCGTAAGTGAATGTCCTGGAGTTTGGCTTGGCAGAGGCATGCCTATTGGACTTGGAGAGGAGGAAAATCCCAGACTATTGTAAAATGGTTGCCCTATGGGTGCTAGGCTGCTACTAGATCTTTTGTACAAGTCAGAGCTAGTAGATAGAGACTCTCTCCTTGTGGCACTACTACTTGCAGAACTGCCAACTGAAGAAGAAATAAAAAAAACCCTAATTACATACAGTGTTAACTGAATAAAACCTATCCCCAACTCTCGCTGGGCAATAACAGAAGTGATCACAATAATTATTTTTAGGAACATTTTGGAGAAGATAATTACTGTGATAACTATATATACTAACTTATTAATCATAAAAGGGTATAAATGCACCCCAATAAAGAACCAAATACTTAACAGAGCAGTCATATGTTTCATTATTTCACACATATTTACCACTGACACACCTGATTACTGTGCTTTAATACCCTGGTATGATTTATAAACCCTGGAATTGCAAGTTGTCTGCATTAGGACATGCTAGAGATTAAATTCCATTAAGTTTAAATTCTGGTAGTATCCTCATCTCTGGAACCTGCTTCTTAGACGTTAACTCAATGCCAAGAAAAGATTATATGAATAAATAAAATATTAGTACATTTCCTTCACCATTCATATGTAATTTGTCGTCTAGCTGTGTTCAAAACACAGCCCTTTAAGTCCATATTGGCCCGAATATTGATCAGTTGTGAAATACAGAGAGCAGCTAACTCAACAGTATTTTTCATACTACACATTCTCCCTTGTTCTCCAACTACATTACAAAATAACTCAACTTTTAGAAAATTAATAGCACTCATTGTTACCAAACCAAAGACATGCTTTCACTTATCCCACAGGACTCTTCCACTCCTAAGATGCTAGTACTGCCTCCTGAGCCCCTTACTCAAGGCTGATCAGGTTTTTGTCATTAGACAATACACAATTTCTCTTACTTCACATCCCTTAATACACTGCATACCGAATTTTTACTTAATACCAAATGTAACTATTATCCTTCTAATCCTTTTTCCTTTTATAGTGCAGAAAATAAAGGCCATGTAGGTCCTGGTGAGCTATACATGCTTAGAAAAGCTAATCAAGATCTGGCAGTTAATCAACACCTGTCTGGATAATCAAATTCCACTGCATGCATCTCTAAGGGCTGTCCAAAACTCTCAGTTCTCAAGTCTCATTTAAAGCCCATATATTCAAGTATGTTTCCTTCCTATTTCTAAGCACTAGCCTCTTTTAACTGAATAACTTTTACATCTAAGAAAATTTCAAACCACATTTCTGAACCTGCCAAATACATTTTTAAATGACAAGCTCTATATTCGGACCAATATGGCAATGCTTTCCAAGGAATCTGTAAGTTTCTATTAAATCTTATTTAACCACAAGTCATATATAAGTAGGTCATACAGGGTATAAAGAAAAAAATTAAGGAGTGTACATCATGGGTAGACCAAGGTAAGAGTATAATACAGACAGAAAACTTAATTACGTTGGTTTTGCCACATTCAAAATTCTATAGAGGGGTAAAAAAAAAAAACACAAAAACACAGGCTTATGCTACCACATTAGGCAAAAGATTATAATGCTATTCAACCTTTTATACCAGCCAATGCAGTTTCTGAGACTGACCATGTTTGGTTGAAAATTTTACATTTTAAGATATCACAGTAAGAAAATACTAGAGGTGTCTATATGCATTTTTATTGCAAAAATGTATTATAAGCACATGTAATAAAACAGCTATTTTTGAGTTGGTTTTGGCAAAACTGGCAATGTATGCTACATTAACTATGCTAATTTAAAAGGACACTGTCAAAGTGATTTTTCTAAAATATGGCTACATTTTAAATTCCTATTTATTTCAGAAAACAATTTGACAATGAAAAAGACAACAGCTCTCTAATGAGAGCAGCATTATTCCCCTGACAAATAATCCAATAAACCAGTTTTGACATATGCAATATTATTTTCCTCCAAAAAGGAAAAGCCAAGCCAAACATTTAAAAATAATTCAGAAATAACCTTAAACATAAAGAAGCTGGCTCTTTAAGTTTTACTATATGCCTAAATTATCTCCAACAGTATGACTATGAGATATGAAACAAAGTGTACCTAAAATATCTAAGAGGGTAGACGGACTGCTAATCATTCATTGACTGTGAAAAAAAGGCTAAATTATAAACTTTCAATTGTAACAACTCTTTAAAAAAATAACAGGTCATAGAAAAGATGATTTAAATTATATGTTACGACGTTTAGGCTTCTTGGCCAACTGTATCATAAAATGGGGTATTTAACACTGTTAAACATTAATAATTTCATCATAGAGGTAAGAGAATGATTGTGTATGTTACTTATATATGTGCATACAGGCACACAACCACATTATGTTTTAGAGTTCATATAAGTATGTAATTGCCATAATGTGAAAAGGCAGTGGGCAAAGCTGTAAGAGTCCATATGCATAGCACTTGAATAAACTCCCACAAAATGCCCAAGAGAAGGGAGATGATGGACTCTTTACTGGCATTCAGGGGTGGCAATCACTAATGCTCTCTAAAGCAAGGTAAAATGAAGCTCTTACAGATTGGAGTCAGAATTGAGTAAGCCATGCTTGTAAATAACTGAGGCGTGAAGGTTAGTTTTGGGGAAACGGCATCTGTAGGGGACAAAATGTTCATGTCAATTCTTGAAAGGGGGAAAGAGCCTTACCTAAGAAACAAATGGAAATTTGAAAGAACTGAGTAGGAGCCTAGAAATCTGTACCAGACCATCAGTGACATAGTACGTGAGAAAGGAAACATGGGGTTTAATCAATGCTCTCTTTTTTCTGAATTATTTAGGGCCTACAATTTGTAATTTAGAAACTATTTCCACAAGTTTTTTATGTTACTTGTTCTTCCAGTTTTCCTCAGAATATTTAGGATTCTTTGGAGAAAATGTCCCAATTGTGTTAGAAACAAGGAATGAGTCCTATGGGAGTGCGTGAGGTGGACAAAGAGATACACAACTCCAAAAGCAATGAAAAAACTCAAGTACAAAAATGAAAAGATTTAACAATCCCCATGTTCACTGGATTTTCCCTCAGAAATTCTTATGAGCAGCCTTTATATAATTTTGTGTCAGTCAAATATGACATTCACTTATTGTATTTCATGACAATAAATGAAGAAAGATTCTGCCATCTAAAAGTTTATGGCTGTTCTAGACCATCCTTCCTGTATATATGAATGATAAAAGTTCAGAAGACACTCCCTTAGAAAACTGGCAAGCATTGTTAATAATGCCTGGCATGTGTTAGTTCTGCCATTTTCCACACCAGAAAAGAATATAATTTGATGTGGTAAGAAAAGAGATGAGAAACAGATATTAAGGACTGTAGCAAGTTATGTTATAGAAACAGAAAATCTCTTGAGGTCCAAATAGCCCTATCCTCATGAAGAAAAGGCTGCCAACTGCACCAATAGAACTGGGTCAGCTGTTTTTTCCGTAATGTTTCCTGAGTACTGTGGAAAACTCACAGAATACACCAAGTGTATCAACAAGAAGTCAACGTGGGACTCTTCTGATTTCACTTAGTTCTTCCTCTACCACAGGATCCAGGAACCAGTTTGACTGGGTCAATTATTTAGTGAAGCTATTTAAAATTTTGATTTCTTAAGTGTCATATAAAGCTAAGATACATGAATAGATACTCTTTTAAGTAAATTTTTAGTGACAAAGGCTAACTTATTTAACCTAAAAAAAGACAACCATACTGGTAGTTTCTTAGGGGATTCTGTTGAGAACATTTCATTATTTATACACACACATATGTATTTTTTTATATTAGGCCAAATTTTAAAACTGTAATAAACTACCAGCATTTAATAAGAATAAACCATCTAATAAGCACACAAAGATAACTGCTTTAAAATACCAAAAATTTAAGATGGCAAAATATTTACCTCCACAAACATTAATATTATGTAGTGAATGAAGATGAGCTAATAATTAGTGAATAATATACTGACCCAAATAACCTTACTAAAACAAAAATTACAGTAATCAATTCCTAGAGCCAGGGAAAAAGGAAATGTATTACATATGAGTTAAGAATAGGCTGCTTGTAATGAGTTAAACATTGGTGAGTGTTAAAAAGATTTGCAGGATACTTTTTTCCCTACAAAATTAAACCAGTAGTCCAATACTTTATTCCTGTCCTTCCTATACTACATGCTATTATTGCTTATTTTAATGTTAAACACACTCATATACCTCTTCCACTTAGCAGAGTATGCTCATCGTAAAAAAAAACTTACCTGATGAACCAAATCCACTGAGGGCTGAGCCTATAGCAGCACCCAAAGAGTTACCACTTCCAAAGCCAAGAGATGTACTTCCAGGTTGACCAGGTCCATGAGAAAATAAAGAACTACTCTGGGAGCTATTAGTCAAAGAACTGCTTCCATAAAATGAATTAGATTGCAGATTAGTGCTTGGCTGCTGTTGCTGCTGCTGCTGCGGTGGCTGAGTGCCAATTGGCCGAAACAGACCATTTGTGCTGCCTGTAAGGCTACTTGCAGTTCCTCCAGCTGCTGCTGCCGCTGCTGTAAAATAAATTTCAGGTACTTCTTTAAACCAGCCAGGAAATTATTCTGTATTTAAAAAACGAGATCTCAACACCAGAAAAATATTATCCTAAAAATGTCAGTTACACTTACCAGCTTGTGCTGCTGCTGAACTAATTAAAACAGGTGTTGGAGCCATTAACCGAACTGGAGTTCCAAGGCCAGTCCTTGCTCCAGGGCCAACCACTAAGGCACCAGTCTGATCATAATAGGCAGTTGGAGCTAATACTTGATAGCCTAAATAAAATAAATGTTCACTAATGAAAGCACTTATTACAAAAACATGCATATTTTTTTCCCCTGCATTTGTATTTTTCAACTAGAAAACACAGCTATTTGTATTATTACTATAAAATCCTCAGTTAATATAGGCAACGCAACACATTTGACAAGGTCTTACTAAATATATGAAAAAGTAATAGACTGTCATTAAACACTTTTTCTCTAAATTTTACTTAGGGGCCACAAAACGAAGAGGTATTTTCCTTAATATAGAAACTACAGGCTATGAAAGAAGGGCTGATATTAGAAAAAAATACCACCATTTAGTCCTTCGAAGAGGAAGGATTAAAAAAACTGGGAATAGCAAGGTAGAACACTGTATGAAATGTTTACTATGCAATTTCATTGAAGTTCAAAACCAAGTGCCTTATTACCAGCATTCCCTTAGATTTTCATTTATAACCATCTCTTTAAAAACTTAAGCCAAACATTCTATTTGTGAAGATTCTCAAGCTAGAGTTTAATTAAAAATCACACAGGCTTTAGTTTTACTGTAGCCTTAAGCACAAGGTAGGTAAATCTGCAATCTTCACAACTAGTGGAGAATAAAGTTAATTTTTTAGCAGACTTTCTCAATGGAGATTCCCTGTTGAACCAAAAACACAGAAAATGATTTAAGTAAGTATTTTGTTAATTCTCCTCAGGATGATATATAACAAGCATCACTCTGGAATCATAGGAGAGAAGTTAACTATATACACTGTGGACACTTTAGAATAATAAGAATAAGGCTTTATTCTTTTCTGGAACTCAGCTGAGAAAGGTTGCCTCATAAAGCAACAAAAACTGAGGCCCAATAACCTTACAACTATCAGCAAAAAATGTACTAGCAACTGTTTTTTCCCTTAAAGAGTGCTGTCTTGCTCTGTTGTCTAGGCTGGAGCATAGTGGCATAATCATAGCTCACTGCTGCCTCGAACTCCTGGGCTTACATGATTCTGCTGCCTCAGCATCCTAAGTGGCTGGGACCACAGGTACACACCACCAGGCCTGGCTAATTTCTTATTTTCTATAGAAATAGGGCCTCACTATGTTGCCTAGCCTAGTCTTTAATTCCTGGGCCACCGATCCTCCCGCCTCAGCCTCCCAACTGTGTCTGACCCTTTAAGAAGTTTTTAAAAACACACACTATATTGAAATACATTCCAACATCAATTTTAGTCTTATTTTGTTAACACTATACAGAAATCAGAGTTATAGTAAAATTAGTGATAATACAGCATGAGCGTTTTATTGCCTTTAAACACAGTAGGCTAAATTCAGCTCAAATATAATAAACAATGCTCAGATAAACACTTTACCTGTAAGACTGAAACTTCCACATGCATATGTTGTTTTCAGTAAATACAGTAATTCTGACCAAGAATAAGCATTAGCACGCTGCTAATAAAACATCCACATTACTAGTAAATTTCAAGATGTATATACCAGTCAATAGTCTTAACTAGTATTTGTGGTCTAGTCCTAAATCCAAGGCACACAAAAAATATTCTTGTTCAAAAACGTTGTCATTTACTTAACATCTGATTTTGAATGAAAAATAAAAGTAAATCCATTTGGACATTTGGCTATAAACACTCTACTGACAAATCAAACAGCACTTAACTGCTACTTAACTAAATTTTGCATATATAAATTCCCAGAGACAAAATAACCCACAGTCAACTCATCTCTGAAGGCCTGTTCATTTACCTTCTAAATCTTTCTCAAATCTATCCATTCTTGTGATGATTACTTTCCTGTCCAACTAGATTATATGGTCTGCCCTTGCTCTTTTGTTCCGTGTCTATAACACATTCCCCACAGAGACTGTGGTCTGAGATTGATATTAAAATATATCAATCCACACTCTTGCTCCAAACCTTCCAAAGGGTTTGAAATGAAAAGCAAAACTCTGAATATGGCCCACAACGTGATCTGGTTGGTTCCTGGCTGTCTTTCTAGTTTTACCTGGTATCCAAGTACCTATTTTATGTTTTGGGAAAAATGGGGGTTCAAACTCCTCAGAGGCACCATGCTTCCCCTCAGCACAGGGGTTTGGTGCATTCTGTTCCTTTGTCACAGAATATTTTTTCCCACTCTCATTCTGTACTTAGCTTAATTTTTCATTAATTCATCAATTTGACAAATATTTATCAAGTGGCTACCACATGCCAGGCCCTATTGTAGGAACTGGGATAAAGCAGGGAAAAATAAGGAAAAATATCCTTAAAGGGGATTATTTTCTGCTTCAAGTGAGATAAATGAAAAATAAGTAAAAAGGTACGTTAGACAGTTTTACATATTAAAAGGAGAGAAAAATCAGACAGGGAAAGTGGAGAGAAGTTATTGGGCAGTGACAATAGTGTTAATAATTCGAAGCTGAGGGTCCTGAAGAATCTCCATAACAAGATGACATACGAGGAAAAATCTAAACTGAGAGAACTAGTGAAGCAGATATCTATAGGAAGACATTTCCAAATAGAAGGAACAGAAAGTAAGCCAGTACGACTGGAAGAGAGACAGAGGGAAGAGTAAGACAGGCAACAAGGGGCCAGATCCTTACAGGTCACTGTAATAACTTGAGCTTTTACTTTGACTTCAGGCAGGAAACCATTAGTTTTTAGGAGAGGAGTGAATTACTTTGACGTTTCTTACTTCATTTACTTCAGTTACTAAAGTAACATGGTATGTTTGGATAACTTCAGTTACTTGATTTACTTCAGTTACTGCGTAGAGAGAGGACTCCACAGGGTTCAAGAAAAAAGGGACAAGAAGATATGTGAGAACCCAGATGGAAAGCTAATCCAGAGAAGTAATTAGGACCAAGTCAAAATAGAAGTAATGGTAGAAAGGCAGTTGAATTTGGAGAGCCCTCAAGATTTGCTGAGATTAGACGTGGAATGTGAGGAAAAAAGGAATCAAGGATTCCCATTATTTTTTGGCCTAAGAATTATAAGAACAGAGTTTCTATTTATGATAAAGATGGACATCATAATTTATCCAGTTTACATTTTCTAATTTACTATCACGAGATTGTTCCTAATAGCTAATGACTGTTTAATTTTCCTATTATTGGTTATTTATGCCTTCTCTGTTTTGATGAGTCTCTGAGGTTATCGACTTTATTGTCTTTTCAAAGAGGTGGTTAACTTCACTGTCTTTTCAAAGTAATTTCTGGGATAATTATTTTGTTTGTTCTCTATCTCATTCACATCAGCTCCCATTTTTATTATGTACTTCCTTCTACATTCTTTGGTTTCATTCTCTTTTTTTTTCTTTTTAGTTTCTGGATAAATGCTTATCTCATTCATTTCCAGCCTAATGTTCTAATGTAATCATTAAAACCTATATATTCTCTTATGTTCTGTTTTTGTTCTAATCTACAAATTTAAATATGTAGCATTTTCACTATAACTCCATTCAAAAGCTGCTAATTTCCATTGAATTATTGTTTTATCTATGGCCATACAACCCTGATCATGCCTGATCTCGTCTGAATTATCTTTTTGCTACTGAGAAAGTCTGTGACTAAGGTTAGGTGAATGTATCAAGAGTGGGAAAAGGAAAAAAAAAAGACGTAGGGAAGAATGATATAGAAAGACAAGACATGGGGAATTGAAAAACAAAAACTAAAAAACATGGTCCTCATACTCAAGAATTATGCAATCTAGCAGAGAAGGAAACACACTCCTTAATTCTAAAATGCCATTGACTTTAACATATGACATAGATCTAACAACTTCCCTTCAGAGTAACAAAACTCTCTAACTTTAAGACATTTCCCATCTACAATCACATTAAAGTAAGTGTTGTAGAATGGTGAAAATAAACCACAAATAGCTAAATGAAATGCAAGGCATACAGAAGTACTAAAGAAAGGTGCGAGTAATACGCCAAAGAGAGCAGACAAGGGAATAATTATCAATGAATGAGCACCGGGAAAGATTGAGGAAAGCTTCATGAAAGGGACCATATTAAGATGAGAAGGAAAGTTAATCATAAAATGTCTATGGGCTGAAATTTTAAAAAGCAAACACTATATACACCAATTTTGTTTAAAATTTATAAAGGGGTATTTTAAGCTAGGAAAAAAAAAAAAAGGAACATGAGCTAGGACTAGAGGCATAGAAGTGCATGGTATGTTTGGATAACAGTATATGGTCTAGTGCATTAAAGCACAGGACTATAAAGGAATTCGAGACATTTGGTAGGCCTATAATCTCAGCACTTTGGGAGGCCAAGGCAGGAAAATTGCTTGAGGCCAGGAGTTCAAGACCAGTCTGGCAACACAGACACTGCCTCTATAAAAATAAAAATGACCATGAGGCAGAATGGTAGAGAATTGAAGTCATTGGATGTGGAGGCACAGAAGAAAACCAATAGTTACAGATAACTTTGAGGTTGAAACTAAGAGTTTCTAGTTCTAAAGAATAGTAGAGTTAAGTGAAACAAGGTAAACAGTAGACAGGAACATTTGGAAATGTGAGTTCATTTTCTGATATTTTCAATTTGAAGAGTGCCTGCAACATAAAAGTAGAAATGTTTGGTACAAGGACAGACATGTATGTATTAGGTGTTCAGAAAAGAATTCAAGATGCAGATGTAAACTCACAGGGTTGACAGTTGAAAGGATTTATGAAAATATACTCTCCTAAGGAATAAGGGTAAAGGATCTCCATTTTTCCTATCTGAAACCAAAATTCAAAGAGGAAAATAACTTGGGCATGGTTACACAATAGCTATGTGGTGGAAATACAGCAAATCTAACTCTGAAGAAGGTAGCCATTAAGTCAGACTGTCTTTTATATTTAAGGATATATATAGAGGAAGCAGAGACTAATAAAAAAGCAATGAGAGGTGAAAAGGCTACCAGTGAAATACCACTCAGCAGAAAGGAGTTACAAAGAGTTGGACAGAGTCAACAGGGTGAACTGCAACAAACTGAGCATAAAAAGATACAGAGGAAATTATAGTTTGTAACTGTCTCTAACTTATATTAGAGACACTACAAAGGAATTATGGAGGCAGAATTTAAAAGAGGTATGGGGTAGAGTATAAATTTTGACTAATAGTCCATGAGAGAAGCAGAGTAGAGATAAAGCTTTTTAGGACTGAACAGGCAGAACAGCACAGTGGATTGAAACGAAGGACTGGGAGGGGGAAAGACTTAAGATTCAAGATAGAAAAACAATAGCACACAAGATAAAGCAGAAGAGTTAAGAACAGGACAGTAACTAGGGATCTGATAAAGTACTGAAGAAAGCTAGAAAGAAGAGTTAAAGTATGAGCCCTGAAGGAACATCAATTTTCTCAAGTGAGCCCTTTTTAGTATACACATTAGCTTTATAACTATGTAACTATTTGGATATGGAAAACGAGAATTATTTCATCGTCACAGTCTGGGCAGAATGAAGTAAAGAAGGCATCAAAGAAAGTTTTAGTGTGAAGGGATCATGTGAACAGCCCAAAAGTCACCGAAACATACAAATACAAATTCTAGTAAGGCCCTTCTTATGAGAGTGGTTTTTACATTTATATTTCTAAAAAGGGTAGGGCTGCGTGCAATGGCTCAGGCCTGTAATCCCAGCATTTGGGAGGCCAAGGTGGGCAGATCACAAGGTCAGGAGTTCAAGACCATCCTGGCCAACATGGTGAAACCCTATGCCTACTAAAAATACAAAAATTAGTTGGGCTGGTGGCAAGTGCCTGTAATCCCAGCTACTTGGGACGCTGAGGTTGCAGTGAGCCAAGACTGTGCCACTGCACTCCAGCCTGGTGACAGAGAAGCCCCATCTCTACTACAATTACGAAGTTGGGCATGGTGGCACGCACCTATGAAGTCCCACCTACTCAGGAGGCTGAGGAAGAGGAATCGCTTGAACCCGGGAGGCAGAGGTTGCAGTAAGCCAAGACTGCATGCACCACAGCACTCCAGCCTGGGCGACAGAGCGAGACTCTGTCTCAAAAAAAAAAAAAAAATTTACCTATTTTTATCATCACTCAAAAGATATAATCAACTGTTTTTAGACAAATATAGAACAAAAAGTTGCTTTTTTCTAGAATTACTAACAGAATTCACTGTTGAAAAGCAGCAAAAGAGAGGAAAAAAGAGCTTTCTCAAGGAAGGGAAAGAAGAAATATGAATATAAAACTAAATTGTAAGATTGAAATTAACAAAATTAAGAGCAAAATACTTTGATTTTATTTGCTCAGTGGCTCATGCCTGTAATCCCAGCACTTTGGGAGCCCAAGGCAGGTGGATCACTTGAGGTTAGGAGTTTCAGACCAGCCTGGCCAACAAAGTGAAACCCTGTCTCAACAAAAAAATACAAAATTTAGCCGGACATGGAGGTGTGTCCCTGTAATCCCAGCTACTCGGGAGGCTGAGGCACAAGAATTGCTTGAACCTGGGAGGCGGATGTTGCACTGAGCTGAGATTGTGCCACTGCACTCCAGCCTGGGTGACAGAGTGAGACTCCATGTTAATAAAAAAAAAAAGAAGAAGAAATAAAACTATGAGCTGAATAGAAAGAGCAAAGGTATTTATAAGACATAAGTAATAGGGTCAGCATCAAGAGCCTAGGAGGATCAATGGGTTATAGGACACAGCAAATACATGCAGGCCAGAGGCACTCTCTTAATTCCAGGTTCCACAGAGAAACTAGTTAAGCAGGAAAAATTGTTGTACTCCATAACTCCTCTCCCCGTTCTACATATAGCTGAAACCTAAGAAGAACCTAAAATAGTCTTAGTGGCCCTCAAAAACTCCCAGCTCACTTCTTTTCAGCCCAATATCCATGTGCCTAAAACAACTTCAGCTTTACAGTCCACTTCTCAAAAGTCTGCTTTTGCCAAGGTCTCTAATCCACAATGACTCCATGACAGTAGAGTCCAGGAAGCAAAAATATATGGCTGGCGTATAAAAAATAAAATAATGAGAATGCCACCCACTGTACTATCATTTCTACTTCAGGGACAGCATGATGAAAATCTTCTCTTTATCCCGTGAACCACACAAGATGATAAATTCAGATCTTAGAATTCCAGAGAGGAATAAATGTAACTGAAATAGAAATCCTTCAAACAACATACCAAAGTATTTACAAGTACTTAATATATAAAAGAAACCCTCAATCATGCAAGTCATTTTTTCCAATACACTGAACATATTTCTTAAATGATCTGAATAGAAAAGTAAACTGCACTACGATTAAATGGAAATTGGAACTCAAATATTATTAATAAGTAACCCACTGATATAGGGACAACCACTGATATACCAAACGTGAAAAAAAGCATACTTAAATCTTCAGAAAAGAATGGCAAGTTATGCCGTATCTGTTGATATTCAAATATAGCTTTAAAGTTTAAAAACAAGTGCTGCATTTTTTTTCTTAGAAAACAACCTTCCTTCCTCCATTATTATTAGTGATCGTTTCACAAAAAAAGTACTTTGTTGCCCTTTCCCAAAAGTTGTACAGTAGCAATAGGTAGAAATTTTATACTGTCATTTTTTTATACTAGGCTTTCATAGACACATTATCGACATTGTTGCTATTAAGTTATAAATAATAGCTTTAAATGCTATAAATGGGCTAAACAAAATTAAACAGGGTTCAAAGTAAAAAACATTAGCTGCAAACTCTTCTGGTATTAACAACTATTCTTACAAGGCAGGAATGGCAAATAGGTTCTGTCTTGCATACCAACTCTCAACAACTGTTTTACTTCTTGAAGCAATATACTAAAAATTCTGGGTTAGGTTTAGATAGATGTTATAAAAAATGGCTGCATTGAGAATTCTGATACATATTTGCCATTCCTGTCATTGACTCTCACAATCAATACTGATTTCAATTATTAGCATCTGAGTTCTAAATATTTCGTTATAGGTTGGCAAGATTTTAAATACAGTTTGATTTTTTTTCACTCTTCAGTGTGAGTACCTACACTTAACATTTTAAATCTATTCAAATTTCCACAAATGACCAATTGTATACCTGGCATGCCAGTAGCAAGACCCTGACCAAAAGCCAAAGTTGGATTTGCTGCTGCAGCTGCCGCAAGTGATTCTGCTTGCTGCCCTTGCTGACCCTGATTGGGAGTAAGAGGACGCTGACCTGCTCCAGCACGGAGAACCTACAAAGGTAAAACGATTTTCTTAAAATCAATATAAAATAATGGATAAGTAAATTTATCTTGGACAACTGTGTATTTATTACAAACAGCATTTGGATATTCTTTAAACATTTACATGCAAGGAAATGTAGATTTAGCATGAAAAATCACAAAATACATTAACATCAAAAACAATCACTAGCTCTTAACAGCTAGAACAATCTATAAAGCAACATGGGAGGTTACAGAAAATCTTTGGTTAATAACTATTTCTAATATTCGTGTTCTTTAACAAGGTAGTTTTTTAAAAAAAAATAAATAATGAGCTTTTATTATTCTCAACAACAGAGAAGACTCCAGACTGTCTTCCACCTGAACTGAATCCACACTGTGGAGGGCACAAGCTGTGGCTGGGCCTGGAAGACACGCCTCAGAGATTCCCTCAGTCTTGCCACCTTGTGGAAGATTTTTCAAAAGAATGAATGGTAAACTCATGTGACCAGCAGGGAAGACAACATGGAAGAAACTTTCCTGCCTAAAATCAGCCTCCGTCCAGAGCTAGCACATGGAAGGAGACACTCCTTCTCCTGGGGTCACATCTTCACCAGAAGACGGGTGGGAGCTCACTGCTGTGAGCCACATATCCTCCTCTCTCGGCCTCTCTACGCTGGTACTTTATCTGACTGCATCTTCCTCTGTTCCTTGGCTACAGTGTTTAATTCTTGAGAAGAGAATGTTGAACAAGTCAAGTCCTTGTCACCCTTAGTCAGAACTCTCATTTGACTTGGAAGATTTGTGCTTCCATTTTTTCTTCTCCTTCTTCCTTTTCTTATGCTTTTCTTTCCTCCTCTTTTTCTTGTGTTTCTCTTTATTTCAGAGGAACTGGAGCTGCTCCCATCTTCATCTGAGGTAGAATCCTCCAGTAACTGTTTTAACTGCTGTATCCTTACATCCTTTTCATGTCTTTTATTGCCTCGTATGATGCCATACATGGGATCTCCATGTGCTGCTCTGAACTGTTCTAACTTTTGGTTGCCTTTGATTAAAAAAGGGCATTCTTTGTCGCCGTTTGGTGACCATACCATTTGCAACGCCAACCCAAGCATCCTTTAATCTTGTTGCTTTAGAAATGAATTTTCCATCAAGAAATTTTGAAGCAATCCAAAGAAAAGTAACTTCTTAACTTTGATTTCTTTCCCCAGTGGCATCCAAAGTCCCAAAGTCCTTTAGTTGGTGTGTGAGCCAGAAATTCCCTGTCATGTTCATTGCCTGGTACATCTGGTATGCAGTCTCCTGGCTTAGTCTCATCTTCCTTGATAAGCCCAGGAGGAGGTTTTTTTCATAAAAGGACTCCAAGTGCATGAACTGCGTTGTGCTGCTTTTGCTCCCGGCGCCACTGTCCCGCAACTTGCCCAGGAGGTGGCCAAAATCCTGGCCTCGGCCACTTGATCCCCGCCTCCCTGCAGCTGGCCCCACGTCAGTGCACCAAGCCCCCACAGCTCAGTGCTGTAAGACCTGTTGCTAACAGTCGGTAGTTGTTTTTTTTTTTTAAAGATTTGTTTGGGAGTAGGAAGAATGGCAAAATCTTAAAGACTTTAAAATTTGATTTTTTTCTTTTTTTTATCCTTTGTTTTGAGACGAAGTCTCGCTCTGTCACATAGGCTGGAGTGCAATGGCATGATCTCAGCTCAATGCAACCTCTACCTCCTGGATTCAAGTGATTTTCCCACCTCAGCCTCTCCAGTAGCTGGGACACGCCACCACACCTGGCTAAGTTTTTGTATTTTTAGTAGAGATGGGGTTTCACCATTTTGGCCAGGATGGTCTCAAACTCCTGACCTCTGCACCCGGCCTAAAATTAGATTTTATTAAAATTATTTTCTAGGCTGGGCACGGTGGCTCACATCTGTAATCCCAGCACTCTGGGAGGCCAAGGCGGGTGGATCACCTGAGCTCAGGAGTTCAAGACCAGCCTGACCAACATGGAGAAACCCCGTCTCTACTAAAAACACAAAATTAGCCAGGCATGATGGCAAGCACCTGTAATCCCAACTACCTGGGAGGCTGAGGCAGGAGAATTGCTTGAACCCAGGAGGCGGAGGTTGTGGTGAACTGAGATCACTCCATTGCACTCCAGCCTGGGCGACAAGAGCGAAACTCCATCTCAAAAAAAAAAAAAATTTTTCTAAGGCTGAAAACGGAAATACGAAAAGATTCGGCAAGTAAAGTATGAATTTGTTATGAGACTGCTGTAGACCAAATCAAGTTTTCAGGATTCAGAAGCCTTAATAAGAGTAAAAGCTGCTTTTAAACATAGTATTTTAAAAAGAACACAAGATTGTATCAAAACAAGGTGGAAACTTAGTCTGGTCAAGGTTTGCTATTCTGGAATACATAGTTGTAGCAATCACATACAAGCATGATAAACTTAATCATTAATTTTACACTACTCAGGACAAGAGGGAGTCATTTTAAGTCCCTCTCTGTAAGAATCAAACACAGGTGTATATATTTTAAGCTAATGTGACATTACGTTTGTCCAGAGATACAGATTAAAAAATAATTTATTAAACAATGAAGTGATATGATGTCCAAGGACTGAGCCAAAAACAGCTTCAACAGAGCATCTTATTTAGAATCAAAATACATTTAGCCGAGGGCGGTGGCTCATGCCTGTAATCCCAGCACTTTGGAAGGCTGAGGTGGGTTGATTACTTGAGGCCGGGAGTTCAAGACCAGCCTGGCCAACATGGTGATACCCCATCTCTAATAAAAATAGAAGAAATTAGCTGGGTGTGGTGGTGCACATCTGTAATCTCAGCTACTTGGGAGACTGAGGTATGAGAGTTGCTTGAGCCCAAGGTGGAAGCTGCAGTGAACCGAGATCATGCCACTACACTCCAGCCTAGGCGACAGAGTAAGACTGTCAAAAAAATAAATAAATAAAAATAAATAAATAAATAAATAACATATATTAAAGGAAATTCAGAATAAAGTTTAACTGCCAAGTAATACCATGGTGCTTCTTTGGTATAAATATAATGAATGTGACAGCCAGAATCCTGATATATAGTGTTTTTAGATTTATCAAGTTAGTTCTTTTGAAAAAGGCTGAAATTTTAAAGATATAAACATCTTTATTTTTCTAGAAATTAAAGCTAACCTTTAGTCAAAATATATTATCATTTCTTGCTTAAAAATATAAAATACCTACTAATCTCTTTTTACTGGTCAGAAACACGTTAACATTTAAAATTGTAATTTAAATACCTGGAAAAATATGGAAGAATAATTATTTTGATAGGAACATTATTAACATACTAATAAGTGAGGAAAAGAAATTTAGAAACTGCTAGATTTCAAGATCGCAAAATAACAGAAACACAGAAACTGAATACAGCCTAATCTTTTAAATTCATAAAATAGTGACTAGGAAAAAAAAAAATCCCACGCATAAATACTTGTGTATCAACTATATGCCAGGTGTCATGTTACACAGTGAGGAAACATAAGTCGAAAAACACAAATCTTAAACATTAGGGGCTCAAAGAATTTCAAAGAATACTTGGTATTACTTTACAGAAGGAAGGCCTACCTGTTGCTGTCCAGGCTGAGCTTGTGATGCTGCTTGCTGATTGGCTGTGTTATTTGCCGCAGCTGCAGCTTGCTGCTGAAATAAGTTGGCTGGATACACCCCCCATGGAACGCCGTAATACTGAGGTGGAACCACTGCTGGACCTGAACCCCACACCCGACCCCCGAAAAAAAAGTTACTAGATTTTACAGAGACATGAGGTTAGTTACCTATGAGACATGAGGTTAGTTACCTATCATTAGATTATAAAAGGGGGCAGAAAGAAGACTTAGAGAAGAATACGTCTTTATAATAAAAAACAAAGTATTGATGGGTGACAGCAATGGTCTTAAAAGGAAAAGATGAGAATCCAACCTCAAGGCTACCAATAAACTGACAGGACACTTAACCATCTATTCAACATTTAACAAATGCCAATTTTTGGGTCTGACACTACACAGATAAGATATTCAGAGAACATAGCTTCCATAAAACTAAGATTTTTTAAATGCTCAATTCATTACTTCTCTCAGAATTTTGACTACTGAGATGGATTACAAAATAATTTTTAAATATTTTACTTTCCAATCTATAACACAAAACTGAGGAATATTCTGGTACCAAGCATGCTACAATGGTAATTGAATTGAAAACCTTAAAATTTAAAATATTTTTCATATTTCGCAGTTAGTCACAATTCTCACAGAACAATTGCAAATTATAAGAAAACAAATGAGACGTCAGCATTTATGTGGCTAGGAAAATGAAACCGAGTCAAGACAAGAAAGCACTAGATAATACAAGCACAAAGAAAAACAGAAGGCAAACTAGGAAAATAAGAATAAATTGTTCCTGCTCTAGTCTACTTTATTCAAGATAATATTTGATTCCTGGAGAGTAAATAGTTTATGTACAAAAAGCTTCACCATTAAAATAATGAATAAAATGCCATGATTCCTGACTTACATAACAAACATGTCCTAAAATGTTATCAGTGGAATTTTAGGACATCTTTATTTGTATTAATATATTTTTAAAAGTCAAACTCTCGGTTTCACGTTGCATTCAAAGGGGAAAAAAGCCCAGTATATTTGACTGAATCACTAAAATAAAAAGTTTTTATTTCTATAGATAGCCAGGTAAGCTGAACCTGAAATGAGGACTATTAAAACACTGCATAGACTTTACAAAAAAAGGATACATTGTACAAATAAAATAAAGATACACTGTAAAATAATAAAAGGGTACACTGTAAAAATAAAACAATGAAAAGGATACATTTTAAAAATAAAATAAAAAGGATACATTGTAAAAATGAAAGGATACATTGCAAAAAATAAAAGTTTTGTAAACTCTATTAATGACATCTACCTAGAAACTCATCCAACCTAGCCAGAAGCCTGAATTTATTAACATGCTGAAATTATAATATTTTGGATACACTGGGACAAATTAAAGAGTATTATTGAACATAATTTTATTGTTTTTTACTTTTATGATGTGGCTACTACAAAATCTTAAACTACATTTTCTGGCTCACATTGTATTTCTATTGGACAATGCTGGTCCTAGAAAACCTAAGTCCAAAATACATAGAATACTTATACACAAACTAAATGACCTCTTAAAGTTACTTCTATCAGACCCACAGTTTAGTGGTTCTCTGTATTATACCAACACTTTACGTACTAACATCCAGTTAAATGGCACCAGAAAAGCTTACATCCTTATAGAATCACATCCAAGTCCACACCAAAAGCTAATGAATGACAGTTTAGTTTCATTCTGGTAGCTCAGATATCAAGTATAAATCTGAAATTTCTTCCCCATTTTTTAAAACAAGATCTTGACTTTAAAAGTAAGTCTCCTAGGAAAAGACTGTCAGAAGTAAATTTCAAACTGATTAGTGACAATATTTCAGTGAAGAGATCGCTCAAAGCCAAAAAAAAAAAAAACAAAAAACCAGCGACAGCCTCAAGTTTTGAAGTCAGCCTATTAGCAGACTCATTCCAATAAATAAAATTCTAAGGCAGACATCAACCTATTCTTGCCTGTATAACCAATATAAACAATGCCTCAAGACTAACTCATTTCTTTGTAGCCACCTCCTCCTAAAACGAACTCTTCCCAACAACCCCAACTAAGATCAGCCAATTGCTTTGTTCAAATAAGACTGTGTCTGATCAGCACACAACTTTTCCTTACTTATACAGACAATAAATACAGCTTTTTTGTTGTTGTTTTTGTTTTTAGACAGTCTCACTCTGTCGCCCAGGCTGGGCGCTTTGGCATCCCAAAGAGCTAGGATTATAGGTGTGAGCCACTGCATCTGGACAGCTTTGGCTTTTATTTCAGATTCTGAGTGATAGTCTCAGGCTGGGCAGTTTTTAGTAAGTTCTTTCTAACTTGATCCAAACGTTTTGTCCCCCAGCTTGTTTGTACATTTTAGCATTGCGCGAGAAATTCTAGATACATATTTTCTCAAAATTACCATATCTGTTTAGCTTACTCTATTCTATCCCTGACCTATATATGCAGGACACCTACCTTTATTTTATTTTCTGAGAAGTAATTTTACTTTGCATTGTCTCTGTGGGTAATGGGGTTGGTCATTAAAATGGAGATTCATGGTTGACAATAGATTTCTAAAACTATAAAGCTGAAATGTAAGCCAATTACGTATAGGAGGAAAAGTTATTGCGTAAGCGTTTCCCTGAAGCATTACAATTGAAAAATAATACTAACTTCCTGGAAACTTTAGTTCATTCTGGATAATGTTTCAGTTTTTCTCAGAAATTTCAAATTGCCCAAATAGATAAAAATAAAGCTTACATCCAAAACTAAATACATTGAAAAGTAGCCATAATAAAGATAAACGACCAGTATGTTACCTGCTAATGTAGCTGCTGCAGCCAATCCTGCTGCAGTATACGGATCGGTTCCTGGAGGAGCAGCACTAATAATGTATGGATTTGGCACAAATGCAGCTGGAGCAAGGCCTGCTGAGAATACACCAGCTATATTTTAAAAGGGGAGAAATAATAAACAACAATGTGAAGTATGATTTTTTTCATTAGATAAAAACATTTCTACTCTGAATCTGGTGTGGAATGGGGGCGGGGAGTAGAGTGGGCATAATGGTTACATTTTCACTAAGTGACCTTGGGCATGTACCACTAATTCTAAAGTTTTCATTTAAGAAACAGCTGTTTTATAGAATTGCTATGAGAATTAAATGTAATACCAATTATGACATAACTGTACTGTCTCTAGGGGTATGTTATAGAAAATAAAAATATAAATTCAAAAATAAAAAGTAAATGACTGCACAGTACTAGCACGAGACTGGCACAAAATAAATGTGAGAGCTAGAACTGCTACTGGTAAATAGTAGCTTTTCACTCAATCTTATAAAGTCACATTATGAGGTAGGGGTTCAGTGAGGCAGGAATATACAATCTGCCCTCACAAAGCATTCCATCTGGTGAGAAAAACAGGTATATTAGCAAACAGAATATAGCATATTAAGTGCTCTGGGCACAGAGAGGAGGAACATCTAATAAACTTTGGAAGGGGCGAGTAAAATGAATGAGGTATAGTGTAAGATAAAATAAAACTGGAGCTATAACCATCATGAAGACCAATGAAGAGCTTCCTGGCTCATGCTAAGTAGTTTGGACTTTACCCTACAGTCAATAGGGAAACAAGAAAGAGCTGAAAGGCCAGTTACACTCACTTTTGAGTGTAACATATGTTCACCATATGAATTTAGTAAAGGCTGAAAAAGATCTAAAAATATACATTTGCAGTACTCATTCAAGAGAGAAGAAACTCTCAGATGTTGAGGAATTACTGTGTAGGTCTTTCAACCATAGCTACTGGAAAAAATTACTTCACGAGATCCTGTCTCAAAAATAAATAAAAAATAATAGGCCAAGTGTGGTGGCTCGTCATGCTTGTAATTCCAGCACTTTGGGAGGCCAAGGCGGGTGGAACAACTGAGGTCAGGAGTTCAAGACCAGCCTGGCCAACATGGTGAAACCCCGTCTCTACTAAAAATACAAAAAAATTAGCCGGGAGTGGTGACAGACGCCTGTAATCCCAGCTACTCAGGAGGCTGAGGTAGCAGAATCACTTGAACCCGGGAGGCAGAGGTTGCAGTGAGACGAGATCACACTACTGTACTCCAGTCTGGGCAAGAGGGTGAGACTCCATCTCAAAAAAATAAAATAATAATAATAATAACAAATAATGATAATAGTAATATTTTTAAAAAGTATTCAAAAGGAAAATATATCTTACTAGGCCTTAAAATCAAAATTCAGGCTCCTGAAGGGGGGCACGCCCAGGGAGGGCATAGAAGCTCCGCACCCCTTCCTCCATACCTCGCCATACCCAGCAGCTCTGTACACCTGTATCCTTTACAGTATCTTTCGTAATAAACCAGTAAAAGTAAGTGTACTGTGAGGCACTCCAGCAAATCAAACCCAAAGAGGGGTTTGTGGGAACTCCAACTTGAAACCAGTCGGTCAGACGTTCTGGAGGCCCAGACTTGCGACTAGTGTTGTGTTGGGGGTGGAAAGCAGTCTTGGAGACTGAGGCCTCAACTTCTGGGATCTGACACTGTCTCTGGGTAGACAGCGTTGGAACTGTATTAGAGGACACCCAGCTGGTGTCTCCTGTTTGGTGTGTGGAGAAAACCACCCACACATGGGTCACAGAAGTAAGTCTATGTTGTCACGGCTTGAGAGCAGAGGAAAAACAAGGTTTTAGGCCAGGCATGGTGGCTCACACCTGTGATCCCAGGACTTTGGGAGGCCGAGGTAGGCGGATCACTTGAGGCCAGGAGTTCAAGAGCAGCCTGGCCAACAGTGAAACCCTGTCTCTATTAAAAATATAAAAATGCTGGGTGTGGTAGTGCATGCCTGTAATCCCAGCTACTCAGGAAGCTGAGGCATGAGAATTGCTTGAATCCAGGAAGTGGAGGTTGCAGTGAGCCAAGATCACACCACTGCACTCCAGCCGGGCCAACAGTGTAAGACTCTGTCTCCTAAATAAATAACAACAACATAGTTTTAGAGTTTTCCCTACACAAAATCATTTTCTATAGCCTATTTAATTTAAAAAAATACAAGCCTCAACACTGATTTCATGTCTAGGCACAACACAGTCATTTAAGAAACCTGCTTTTATCTATGAAAAGAGTCAAACTCGGTGAATTATTTGAAGAGATTTATTCTGAGCCAAATATGAGGGCTCTAGGTACATTTTAAAATTTTCTGGTTGACAAATTGGTTGAGTTTATCTAAAGACCTGGAATCAACAGAAAGGAAATACTTGGGTTGCGATAAGAGGTTGTGGAACCAAAATTTTATCATTCAGATGAATCCTCCAGGTAGCAGGCTTCAGAGAGAATAGACTCTGTTCCTTATCAGACTTAAGGTCTGCACTGACATTAATGCTGGAGAGGTATAATGAAGCATGTCCAACTCCCACTTCCCATCATAGCCTGAACCAGTCTTGCAGGTTAAATTTTTTTTTCCCCCCCGAGATGGGGAGTTTTGCTCTTGTTGTCCAGGTTGGAGTGCAGTAGCATGATCTTGGCTCACTGTAACCTCTGCCTCCCGGGTTCCAGTGATTCTCCTGCCTCAGCCTCCCAAGTAGCTGGGATTACAGGCATGTGCCACCACACCTGGCTAATTTTGTATTTTTAGTAGAGACGGGGTTTCTCCATGTTGGTCAGGCTGGTGGCGAACTCCCGACCTCAGATGATCTGCCTGCCTCGGCCTCCCAAAGTGCTGGGATTACAGGCGTGAACCATTGCACCCAGCCTCAAGTTAAATTTTAAGAGCATCCTGGCCAAGGAAGAAGTCCATTCAGATGGTTGCTGCGGGCTTTAGAATTGTATTTTGGTTTATACTTCTTATGAAGAAAATATGAGTTAAACTATGAGTTCAATAAAATCCTTTCATTTTAAAGTCATGTGTTGAGTCCTATTTTTAACTATGCCTAGGTCAAAAAGGTTGCAAGATTCCACTCAGGTTAGTGAAAATAAATCTCCCCAAAATCACCAAGCCAAAAAGAAAAGTTAAGCTGGGAACTGCATTGGGCAAATCCTGCCTCCCATTCTATACTAAATAAGATAGCTATAAAGATTGAAAGAGAGAAAAAAAAGCTACATATCTGCCTTACAGTTTGCCCGCAAGAAAATTCCTCATGGACAAAGGACAGGCAGAGCTCAAGGTCATCCCTCTGCTTACATGAGAAAAAAGCATATCTGACTTCTTCACTAAGCCAGACTAACGCGTGACTATTCCTGTAAATTGTGCATTCAGTGAAAAACTCATCAGAAACTCAAAAGAATGCAATCATTTGTCTCTTATTTACCTATGCCTTGGTAGCCTCCACCCAGCTTCCAGTTGTTCCATATTTCCGGACCAAACCAATGTACATCTTAGGCATACTGACTGGTATCTCATGTCTCCCTAAAATGTGTAAAACTAAGTTGTGCCCCAACCACCTTGGGCACATGTTGTCAGGACCTCCTGAGGCTGTGACATGGGTATGTTCTTAAACTTGGCAAAATAAACTTTCTAAACTGATTGAGACCTGTCTCGGATATCTTTTGGTTTGCAGCTTCATCTATCATGAATTATCTTTAGCACAAAAGTAGAAAACAATGTATTAGGATTCCTGTTCTACTTATACCACTAAAAAATCTAAAAGTCAGGATAATTTAATATTTTATAGTTTTATGATAAAAAGATTATTAAAAATTCAAATACTGGAAGATATAAAGAGGAAACTGAAAATCCTCATGTAACCTTTCCTGATATGTATACATACTTTTAAATGCTTACATACTCATACATTTTGTACTCTAATCTATAACAGTACTTTAACACACTTTTTCACCTACTAATTAATCATAAATCTGTCTATAGATACATACCTAGCTCATCCTTTTTTTTTTTTGAGACAAGGTCTTGCTCTGTCATCCAGGCTTGGAGTGCAGTGGCATAATCATCGCTAATTTCAGCCTTCACCTCCCAGGCTCAAGTGATCCTCCCACCTCAGTCTCCTAAGTAGCTGGGACCACAGGTACGCACTACCATACCTGGCTAATTTTTTTAGAGACAGGGTTTCACCATATTGCCCAAGCTGGTCTCAAACTCCTGGGCTCAAGCGATCTACCCTCCTTGACCTCCCCACAATATTGGGATTACAGGCATGAGCCACTGTGCCCAGCCACTCATTCTTTTTAATGGCTATATATTATGTACTCTTCTGTATAGAAGGAACATGATATTATCAGGCTACTACCTTTACATATTTAGATGGTTCATAATCTTTTGCTATAAATAAATAATGCTATTATCCCTTTAGATACACAGGTGTGTACATTACTATATCCTTAGAAAAATTTACTTCAACGAACAAAAACAAATTCTCTTTTTTAAGACATGATGTCTCACTATGTTGCAGAGTTCATGCTGGTCTCGAACTCCTAGGCTCAACTGATGTTCCCGCCTCAACCTCCAGTAGCGGAGAATAAAAGCAGGTGCCACCACATCTGACTTTTCTGTTTTTGTCATATAAATTATTGATCCACTTTTCCAGATTATTTTCCAGGAAAACTGTAGCAGTTTAGATTCCAAAAGTATGAGTGCCACTTACACTCCTGCCAAAACAGAACATTATCAAACATTTTGAAGACTCGCCAACCTAATAGGTAAATTAAAAATTAAATCTTTTATGCTTTTGTTTTTCTCATTAAAAATTTCAATCCATTAGGAATGAGACCCAATAACCCCCACAAGCTATTTTCCAAATAATCATTCTTTTGGCATTGATTTGAAATTCATCTCACCACTCTACCCTAAACAAGCAAGCATGCACACACAGATCTATTTCAAAGTAATCTTGTTCAATGATCTACTCATATATTTTGAGTCCAGTACCACACTATTTTAATAGTCATAAGTAATAATTGCTTTTAAAAATTCAAACTGTGCTC